TAGAATAGGAAATATAATATGCCAATATTTGTACAAAAGAGAATGGTGTGTCTGAAAGTAAGCATGCACACATTACTTTATATATGCTGGAACAGCTCCATAACAATGGTTGCCTTTGATGGGAATATTGTACGGCCTAGGCCAGGAAGGGAAGGGAGATTGAATTTTCATAGTGTACTCTTTTAATTTATTAATTGTATTCTATATAAATATGTACAAATTTAAATTGTTAATATGTAAATGTTCATGATATAGTCAGCCAAACTATGATGAAAACAGAAAAAGATAAAATATATTAATGGATAAACTAGATTTTTATTGAGCAGAATCAGGCTGGGGTTTACATCAATTGCTGCCAAGAATTTTATGTCTATTCAAGATTTAGTTTTATCAAGTCTGCTGGACCTCCTAAACAGACTAAATAGATCTGTCATAGTAATTTTTTCCCTCTGAAAATGAACTAAATTCACTCATTTGACAAATCATTCTAAAATTGTGTACACGTAATTCAAGATTTCATTTCCATGGAAAGTAAAGCAAAGTTGCTGCTTCACTTAATCTGTACAGATGGCTTTCATGGATAATTCACACAAAATCAAATGATGTTTTTTACTCTAACCCATTCATTACCTGAACTGTTGCTTTTCTCGAGTCCTTTGTTCATTTGGTGAAATCAGACAAAAGCAAGAAAGATAGTTGGAAATATTAAAGAGAAGTGAGATGGTCCTGACTAAGGATGAAAAAAAAAAGTTTTGTGTTAACTCTTCTATCAATGGCAGATTATTCCCAGCAGGGACGTATTTCAGCATAAACTCAAAAGTTAACTTTTGAGATGATTTATAAAGCAGGTGTAGGTCATAGCTAGCTAAAGTAAATCCATTGAGAAATATTGACAAAGTAACGATTTCCTACCCTTTTATCACATCCTGGTGCTTAAATGGGGAACTATTTGTCTCAGGAGGACACTATCAGACTGAACTGCTGGTCCTTTGAATAGAGTTATAGCTTTGCTGGTGTGAACTCATTCTCGACAATGGTTTGCTATCAGCTATGAATCTCCATTCACTTCAGGGAAGCTGTAGTTCTTGAAACACTAGATACTGCCACTGAATGGATTGCTATTGACAACAAATCTTTAGCAATAGGAGTAAAAGAAAGAAAGTAAACTCCACAAGTTGTAACAATTAGAGCTTACACTAAGTATGACATTGAAATCAGCAGAGAAAGCTAAGTAATTAATATCGTACCATTCCCTTCCAGAAGGGATAGTCATTGACACTTTGCTAAAACTTCCCTGTGTTCCTTGCCTATGTCATTAGACACAAGCTGCCCCCATATATCTAGACTGTTCCTCAATGTGTACTGCTAACATAGAAATTTACAAATGCAATTTGCCACTTTTGCCCCCTGTTGACTGCATTTAATCTCATACTTCTTCCTGAAAACCAGTTTTCCTTCCCTTGCCTTTTGCATTTGGACATCTTTAATTGTGCTCTGCTGCAGCCTCCTCCTTTTCAGTTGCCCAGCTTCTTCTAATATTCTGACTCAGAAGATTTAAATTCTCCATACTTCTCTCCATTCTCTCTCCTTCTCCTTGTTTATGTTTCTCCCATGGCCACTTCATTTTCATCTACATTGCAAGCTATGTTTTAATTTTTTGGGTTCCTGATATGTATTTCCAGCTTTATTGTAATAGAAATATATTTCATTGTCAAATATTGATAGTCTAGTAATTTTACTTTTCATTGACTAAGCAATAAAGTTTAATTGTTTAATATATTTAACTTCATAGTGCCCTCTTCCAACATTTTATTTTCCACCTATCAAAATGCTAATAATTTTTGAAATATTGCAAAATCCCAAACCACTTATTCTTGTTTTGATTTAATGAGTATGTAATGATTTTTTATAAGATTCTTGAAACCTCATTCATTTTATAATTGCCAAAGTATGTAAAATATAAAAAACATTACGAATGTTTGTTCCATTAATTAGATAAATAAAACAACAATGATGCGATGACTAGTGTCTAGTGGCTAGAAACACACAAAACATATCCACACATATACGTACACCTATTTAAGATATAAGTTGTACATAAAAGTATCTGGATGGTTTTTCAACATGGATTGTACAATACAAATAAAACAAGTAAAACTAATAATTGACTACAAGTACAAAGAAATAATTATTAAACTGTTCTAGCAAGCTTTTCTGTATACTACTGAATAACTCAAAACAGAATCAAAACTGATTTATTTAATAAGTAAAACAATTGAAGTATTAGCTAATAAAAATTTTTAAGAGCTAATCAAAATCTCCAAAATTTGAGGAGCCAAAAAATCACCAAATATCACACACACACACACACACACACATATGTCTAATTTTATATATATATAATTACATATATATACACATGTATAATCTCGTGTGTGTGTGTGTGTGTGTATATATATAATTAGAGAATGAGGGGAAAACCATGATAGAGTTAACCATAATGTATATTATACTTTCATGATTATTTCTAGCTCAGTTTGCTCTCTGTGTAAAATTTCACACATATGTTTTCTTGCTCCAGTAGTGAAATGCAAATAAGGATATCTTATTTTCAAATACAGTCACTGAAGTAAAGGACAGGGCTACACAGAGAGAGAACTAGTTTCATCTAATGCTGAGATGATCATAAATGGATGGTGGGGTCCTTCATGACAGAAGGTAAGCAGAAACAGAGCTTGTGTTTATGAACTAGCCTTACTTGCTAGCACTGTGCTGGACCAACATGTATGAGGACCAGGAGTATGTGCAATGGGACCAATAGTGTATGATGTGTGAACCCTGCTCTCGACAAATTTGCAATTTATTTGGAAATACACAGTGAACACAGTAAACATACAAGTGACATTCAGTTTTATTCAGTGTTTATTGAGTGGTCACTGATGTGCTTCTTAAATTTTTTACCCAATTAATAGTAATGGCAGGATGATAACTTTAGTGTGGTGCATGTGTGTGTTTGTTAGAAAGGAAATACACACACACACACACACAGACACACACACAGAGAGAAAGAGAGAAAGAGAGAGAGGTAACACGGAGATCAAAGAGTGCTCTTCTGAGCCCCACTGCTAAAAGAGTGTCAGTTGACACAGACAGAGAGAAAAGAAGAATGGACATTATATTTTATATGTCCCTCATATTTTTATTTTATTACTCTTAGACTCTCTTCTCTACCAACCACCAGTAACTAGAGATAAATCTTGCAAATAAGAAAGGCCTGCTTGTCGCTCTTTAGTGTTAGGAAAGAAGTGGAAATAAGCAACGAGAAAGAGGAGTGCTGAAGGTCAGTTTTTCATTTTGCAGTCAAGTTTGGGTAGGAGAAAGTCCCTCAAAGCCAGGATGGATGGTGGACATTAAAAAATCGAAGAAAAGAGAATGATCCTCTCTAATCAGTGTGATGCAATATATTAAGACCGAGAGAAAGTTTAACAGTTAGAAAACTGTTCAAACTAGTCATCACTGAGGACCTCACCTAATCTCCACACATCAAGTGATATATTCCCTGACAATTCCAGCCAGGGTTAATCTTGCTCCTTGCTCTCATTAATAGTAGTACTTTACATATTTATGGAATTAATTCATGTACAAGGTCTTCAAATAACGCACATTTAACTCATTGTTGTATTTCCCTAATATTTATTATAATGGCAGAGACTGTTTTCACTAATTCAATCACTAAGACTAGTTAAATAGCTTGTAAGTGCAAATATAAATTGGTATCCCAAATAATAATCTAAGGACATTGATTCACCCTCATGGAAATAAAGTTTTGTTCATTTTTGGAGACAAAACTGTTACTGGATTGATTACAAATATATATGTAAGAAGCAATTAGGGTCATTGATTCTGCAGGTTTGAAATGGAAACCATTAGGAACTGTAACAATAATCTCCTTAGAGCTGACTATCCTCAGGCAAGGTTTATGAGGAGCATATGGAATGGGAGATACAGTGATATCTTTCTTTGGAAAGTACATCCTGTGAAAGTCTGTCCTCCAGCCACAGCAAATCCCAACTGCACACCCCCCACCCATATAGAACATATTCATCCCATTCCAAGATAGCCCCCTCCCCAGTCTTGTCCTAGTAGGCATCAGGATCAAGCTCCAGTTCCAGAATTATGTTCATTCAATTGGGCCCAGGTGAATATGAGGCTCCATAGGTGCATTTTATCAGGTACAACACGTTGAATTCTTTCTTTCTTTTTTTTTTTTTTTTCTGTACAGAGATTTGTGAAATAAACAGACAAGTTATTTGTCCCCACACACCCAACATGAAATGGTGCCACAGACCTAGGATGATGGCTCTAGATACTCTTATTCAAAAGGGGAAAAATTGGAAAGCCCAAGTAGTCACTGGTCCATACAAATACTGAAATCACAGGACATATCCAAAAAATGTTAAGAGTTTTTAACCTAATTGCAAGTTGAATTGTTTATGGGTGCTGAAACAGGATAATAGAGTTCTGCGTTAGAGATGAAGCATGATTTATTACTCACAGCAATACCAGTAGCCAGAGTTCTCAGTGTTTGCATAGGTTCCTTGAATCTCAATTCGGACAGGGCAATAGAAAGAGTGTCAAGTAATGCGTTCACGTGCAGTGGGTTGCATTATAGGAAAGGACTCATGAATTTAGGGAATTCAAGTTTTTAAAAAGGAGAATAGGCTGACCTACCATTTTCTTGGAAGGGAGACACTATCTGTTTCATCATAAACTGTAAGAAACCTGCCTTTTGATCTAGATAGAGACACTATATCCCCCAAAACTTTTTACTATATAACCATATTTTAAAAAGCTAGTCCAGAACAAAGAGTCTATTTCTGTATGTGTGTGATGTCCAGAATCATGAGAGACCTATGAAGAATTGTCTCCCAATGAATATCTTCAATCATTTAGAAATCAAGCTTGTCAAACTATATTCTTATGCTTATCAGCACACTTACCAGATATCCTTTTACCCTGGAAGCTTGGATCAAGGAGTACATCAATAGCAGCTCACTGGAGAATATTAACCACAAAAAATCACCTCCATGTAAATGCTAGCATCTGAAGACTGAGACAGAGTGAAGAAAGAGCAGGATAAAGAAAAAAGGATCTTACTAGAGTCTGTTATGTTAACGGTTATATTCTGAGTGCTAATTCATTGTAACATTCTCTACATAGTCACCTCTGCCGCGCTCATAGCAAACTTGGCAATAGCAATGGCCTGCTGTCTTAAATTCAGCTCCTAAAGCCATATTCCCAATTCCACATAATGTAGGCCAGTAGTTGTCAAATTGATCTTGGCTTAGAATTATTTGGAGGGCATCTTAAAATACAGATATCTGGGTCCAATCTCAGAGACCTAGTCTGCTAGATATGTGACTAGACCCAAGAATTTGTAGTTGTAACATATTCTCATATGATACTGATGTTACTGATCCTGGAACCTTACTTGAAGGATGACTGCTATAGGGTAACCTTTGACTTTTGCTATAAAATAGACATATCACCACTCATGACTTTGACTAAAAGTTACATTTCTGAAGTATGGTGTATTTGTCCAGTTCCTCAGACAAGCCTGCATTTTCTAAAATAAAGTCACAAAATGCAAATCTCAGCCAGAACACTTTAGGAGGTAAGATTTATTCAGTCCTAGACTATTGTCTTCACAAATAAGAAATAAATTGATTCTAATAACCACTTCCAACTACCTGTCTTTGCTCAAGCTCATGCTCCATGTCTAAATGAGAAAGTAATGAAGCCAAGATGATCTCCTTTGTACAAATTAACCAAATCAACTTCTGACAATATAAGACTGAATTCTATTTATGTGACAAAAACATTCCCAAAAAGTTGGGACAAAGCTAATAAAGAATACAAATGCTTACATTCAGTTATGTCTTCTTAAGGACAGAAACCATGCTATATGACCTGTTGACATCTCATCATGAATCAACCTAATTTTTGCATTCTTCTCTGTATTGCCAGTGGCTGCAGACCTGAAGAAACTTGTTCCACAGACTTCCTTTTCCTGCATGGTAGATTGCACCAATGAGAAGCATTTGCACAAGGGCTGGAAGACAGATAAGAAGGGAAGTCATTACTTTCCATACAGTGGAAGGCAGGTGTCTGGCCCACTTAGAATAGACATGAGGGCTTTGATACGGGGTTGGTGGTGGGCTTTGACTGAGGGCAGGAGTAAGGTTTTGTCAGTGACTTCTTGTTTTCACCCAGTTTGCTACTTCAGGCAGCTGAGATGACTCCTGGCTATTATTTGCATTGCAAATTCCTCCTTTCCTTAATTCCTGAACATGAGCAGCGTCTCCATTCTAGTGGTTACTACAGATTTTTTAAAAATATATCTTTCAGACTATATTTTTGTCATATATTTGACTGTAGAGTCTATTGCAAATAAGATATTAAGGGAGTCTACTGACTGATATCTTACTTTCTAAATCTGACCTCATGGATTTAGTAAAATAGTACATATTCTGAGATTACAGATCATAAATTCTTTAAATCTCAAACATTAAACTGAATCATAAATTTTGACTTACAATCTTTATTTCTTTTTGCTACTCTTGTATGACCATAATGCCTAGACTTATAAGTTGGTTTGACATCAACATTTCCTGAAACCAGTAGATCATTACAATTCAAGCAAATAGCAGTTTAAAATCTAGTTTACCTGTGTATTGTAGTAGACACAAACTGTGTAGGGACAGAATGTACTGCAGAAGAGATATTAAACAGGTTTCTAGCGCTAAGTTTGTCAGTAATGAGCTGTAGTTCCTGCACAAGGTGCTTAGCTTCAGGTTCCTTCAGACTTCATGCTTTATTCTGAAGAACAAAACTGTTCTCTAATAATAGATGAGAAGGTTCATCACAACCATAGCATTTTATAATACTTATAATAATTTCATGACATTCGGTTAACCGTAGCCTCATTTACTTTTAGAATTGACTATTTAAGAAAAGTCTTGAGTGTGATTCTATTTCATTGCAACAAACTTGTGCGTTTATATGCTTATTCTATCATATAATTGCAGTAAGAATGATATTCAATCGAATACATTGTTATAAGCAAAAATCATACTCCTACATGGCAATTAGTTTGTAGTGGTACCTCGGTATTGATAACCTGGGACAGTGATAAATCACTTTCAAATAAATACAGACTCTGTTTGGAGAATATAGAACTGGCTTTCACAAAGAGATGTGCACTTTAAGACACTGACTTACATTTACCACGACAGTTGGATTTGGATAATTGTCACATTTCACCAGATTTGCATTGGAAATAGCTGCAAATTCCTGAAACCTTCTTGTGAATCTGGGATCAGTGAAGAGAATAAGCTATCATTTCAGGCACTCTACAATTAGTACTCAACATCCTGTATTAGAAAACAGAGAAACACTGTCACTCACCCCAGGACTAACTTTCTTCTTTGGGGTGACCTTTCTCTTTAAGACAAGCAAGTACCTTGATGGTTCCTGGCATTTGGAACAAATTTAAAATAAAACAAAATAAAATCTAAAAAGGTCAAAAGTTATCTAAAATCATGCTGTATAAAATGTTTAAGTCTTCCTAAGTGACAGCTAAAAGAACTCTAGGTACTTTTATATGCAAACATTACCTTTCTTTTACAACAATGAAACATTAAGATGGTTCCAGTTTATAAGAAAAGTCAGGAATGCAAAGAGATATTATCCCCATAGTAGTAACCACTTTTTCTTATTCTCCCTGGGTGGTGTTTGAGATTAGAAACCTGTCTGCTAAAAATAAACTCAAGTGTTGAAAGGACTGTGGAAGAAGTGATATAATTATGCAAATCTAAGCAGTAAGCATCAACTATGTGAGGCAAGAAATATTTTTTGTTCAATTAAACTATAGAACAATTGTCTATTGGTTTGTCTGTTACTCAATATTTACCAATTCCAAATCCAACATAAAAAATATTTTCTTCTGAGTTTGGTATGAAAATCCTCATCCATAAAGCTGATATACTTCCTATCTTCAGTGCAAAAGCACTAAAGAGGGATTGATGATTCAACAATTAGTCTATAAAGCAAACAAAAAGTTTGATTTATATTCTCTTCTCATCACAGCAGTCAGTACATTCAACAAAATCAAATTTTCTAGCAGACACAGCATTAATTTGCACATTCATTTGTTCATTTCTTTCACAAACATAAATATGTGTATAATAAACATATACAAATATGTATCTGGTAGTTATTACTAGAATTTTAAGTTATTAATGTGAATTTGACGTCATTTTTAGGATCACAAGGGTTAAAAGCCTACTAAGTTATAGCAATAATGTAAGGAATGATATATAATATGATGTACTACATGCAATTGTTATGTACAGAGGATGAAAATTACCTAGACTGAAAGTCAGCAAAAATTTCCTAAAAGACTTTTTAAGATTCCCTTGATAAATGTGTTATATATGTCCCAGCAGACAAAAGAAAACAGATATTTTGGGCGTATGGAAGAATCTTTGCAAAGACGAAAGGTCAAGAGAGAAGTTGTGTTTAGAAATGGGAAAGGGTTGCAACAGCAGGTATATTAACTGTAAGTGGAGAATGTTGCAGAATGAGGCCACACAAGTACACTCTGGAGTGAGAAATTGCCTTGAAACTAGTTTCATATTCCCACCAATCAGGAACTATATCTAATGAGGGCATAAGGAAACGGTGTTAAGAAAGCTTTCCATGGAGCCATCCTTCCATATTAGAGGTATTCACCATGTTCTTCTAACTACTAAATATTCATAATATATCTTCATGTAGTAATTCTCTTAACATTTTCTTATATACTTGGAAAAAAATCTGTACATTTTTATTTACTTCCTCTCCTCTGGAAGAAAGGATTTGTTTTACTCCCGTGTAAATCTACTTTTTAAAGTTTTTAAGGCTGGCATCTTCATATCTTGAGATCATATCTCCTCTTTATTTCAGGTGATGTGTAAAAAAAATAAAATATTCAGCTGTTTGTTTAGTGATTTTGGGATATTGGCAAGGTTTATTTAAAAGGTCTGTCTCTGTCATTGTCTTTAAATCCATTGCACCTAGCAATGTATCTAAGAGGCAGTAGGCATTCATAGAATGGATATTCAAAGAATTAATTGGTAAATGAAAGGACTAGTGCTCAAATGGAAAAGATGGAAAGAGAAGATAATACATACCATATAGATTTAAAGTTGCTTCTGGCCACCCCTATAATACCCTTGGCAAAGCGTAATATGTGCCCTCATCTTGCTTAGGCCAAGATCTTTTCCAGGTCCACAAAGCTGGGACATTGTTAGTGTACAGGAAACATTTGAATCCACAGGTGTGTGATCCTAGAGAAGTACAGAAAGATAGTGATGGAATGAAATTTGGGGATTATGAAGGAGGAAACTGAGGCTCAAAGACATGATCCAGCTTATTCAAAGGCAGAATTGGCCCTAGGAACAAGACTGAATCTCAGGACATAGATGGGAGAGAAAAAAATAAATTGAGCTGGGGTTGGGAGTAGTAGAACAAAAATAAGTTAGATATGGGCCAAAATATTGATTTGGGTTGGAGAGAGAGTATGGCAAATGAATACTAATTTTCAAGGCTATATCTTTTCCACTGAACTGACTAATGTGTCATGTTATAAAACAGAAGGTGAAAAGCCATGTTGAAAAGAGTTAAAATGGGAGATGGGTGCATTAAGCATAAGGAAAATAAAGAAATAAGAAAAAAATATTGCCACATAATGTAAGCAGGATAAATATAAAAGAGGCGATGTTTCAGGATATAAACATTTCATTCAAGTTATATGAATTAATTCACTCAGGGTGGTTTTCTGTTTGTTTTCTTTTTTTAGTTTATCATTCTATTCCTTATTCCATTCTGAGTTAAAAGAAATAGAATACAAAGTCATTAAGGAGAGGTGAGAAGAAAGAAGAAAGAAGAGAGTATTTTCTCCATTCATGTATTTTTAAACAATCAGAGGGGATTTCCAAGCTTTTCCAGACAAGTTTGGAAGGGCTCAAAATAAATAACTCTCTATGGGAGTAATTCTTGGTATTGGAGGAACAGTTTTTTAGTATCAATTGCTGAGCTTTAAAAAAAATTATATAACATCCATCTTCTATTGAACCCTGAGAGCCCCTCTCCCTGCCAAGTCCATTCTGCTGTGAGAGACACATGCCTCCCAGTTTATCTGCTGTTACCTATGGAAGTAGATAGGCATTTAGGTGTATGGTGGGAAAAAAATATTTAAAAACTAGCTGAATTATACAATTAAAAGTAGAGGTTTCTTCCTCTTTTGTCCTGAATTCAACTTTTAGAAAACAAGATGACAAAAGTAAATAAACACAAACAAAACTTCAAAACAATTGTTTGAATTTTTTAATTGAATATTTTTACCATCAATGTGTTTGTAAGACAAGCTAAGAGGATCATTGAAAAAGAATGGAAGATGGCCCAATAGGAACAGCTCCAGTCTCCAGCTCCCAGTGCAAGTGACACAGAAGACAGGTTATTTCTGCATTTTCAGCTGAGGTACTGGGTTCTTCTCACTAGGCAGTGCTGAACAATAGGTGCTGGTCAGCTGTTGCAGCCCGACCAGCCAGAGCTGAAGCAGGGCGAGGCATCGCCTCACCTGGGAAGCGCAAGGGGGAAGGGAATCCCTTTTCCTAGCCAGGGGAACTGAGACACACAACACCTGGAAAATCGGGTAACTCCCACCCCAATACTGCACTTTAAGCAAATGGGCACACCAGGAGATTATATCCCACACCTAGCTGGGAGGGTCCCATGCCCGTGGAGCCTCCCTCATTGCTAGCATAGCAGTCTGCCTACCCACAAGGCAGCAGCGAGGCTGGGGGAGGGGCGCCCGCCATTGCTGAGGCTTAAGTAGGTAAACAAAGCCCTGGGAAGCTCGAACTGGGTGGAGCTCACAGCAGCTCAAGGAGGCCTGCCTGTCTCTGTAGACTCCACCTCTGAGGACAGGGCACAGCTAAACAACAACAATAATAACAACAACAAAAAAGCAGCAGAAACCTCTGCAGATGCAAACGACTCTGTCTG